TCGCTTGCATTACAAGGTTTTTGCCAGAGAGGATTTAGATTTTAATTTATTTTTATTATACAATCTTAACAAAAAGCTTCCGACAAATTTATTGGCCATTTTTACGCTCGATACTAAATATTAAAAATTTTTATAAATACACTTACAATGCGAGCGAATATAAAATTATTTTTCTTTTTAAACGTGACCCAGATTTGCCGGATTGTCCCGTGAGGAATTAATTCAGTCTTCCGATTCTCTACAATAGAATTTTAATGCGCAACAGGAAAAGTTATATGGTTTCATATCAATTCTCTGGAACGTGGGGGTTTCGAATTTCGAAACTGGGGCGATATATACGAGCGATATATATGATGGACCGCCATCGTGATCGCCGTTAGCGTGACTTTCTTACGATGATGAATACCATAGGCGTGAAGCGACGTCGTACACCGTAATTCAATTTGTAGAGGTCACTTAAGGGATAAAGTGCCGGAGGAAGTGAATAGAGAATCCTAGTAGAAGGCTGTCGGTCGCTTATGCGATTTACTTCGGACTCTCGTATCCCTTCGCGTTTAAGAGACTCCCTTTAACCGGGGATTTAGTGATCGATCCAAGGGTTGGCTTTCCTTCGCCACGCTACGTTGCTCGACGCTCCAATGAATGCGGTGGTGGACTAAAACCACCGTGCCATGGCGTGGCGTTGCTGATGTATCGATACCTATTGCTCCTTCGCAAGCGAGAAAAGCAGTCGGACGCCATCGTTTCTTCCCTCTGAATAACATCTAATTAAGGAGGAGAGCGGTATGTAAATTGGATACGCTACGAGCATTGAAAGTTGATCAAAATATGTGTGTGTGTGTGTGTGATAGTGTGTGTGTGTGTGTGTGTGTGTGTGTGTGTGTGTGTGTGTGTGTGTGTGTATTTAAGATGCAAAATAGATAAAAAGAGTTTATATGTAGGTACGATTGAAAAAATAGATATTCTATTTTGGTTTTTAGTAAGGCTATGCCGTATGACAAATGAAATATCTGGCTATGAATAACGATTGAAAGCTTATTCTCTGTTCTGAGAATAAGAAAACACGTTTAGATGTCTGTTGAAAATAAGCAACTTTTTAAATATACATTAGTTATCGTCATTGTGATAAGAATGCTTAGCAACAGCGATAGTTAGTCTGTGTTTTAAGTCATTGAATCAATCAAAATCTCGGACTAGAACTAGACAACTCCTTTTTCGAGTCCCAAATAACGTAATCGAAATGATGGCGTACGATTGTGGACGTTTAACAGCTGCGTATCGGAACACTACGCAGCCTATGTACGAGGAGGATCGAGAACGAGAAATGCAGTCGGCGTGCTCTACCGGAGGTTTGATCTTTCCAACCCGTTGGTTTCGTTGGCGAGACTCGAACGAGAGACTCGAACGAAAGACTCGAATGACTGAAACGCGAAGCGATACTCAATGTAGGACGACATATCAATGTTGAATAATATTCTTGAATTTTTTAAGCGTCGAGCGGACCGGATGCAGGATGCGTGAGATCGTTTGTCCGAAATTTCGTCCCTATGAGGTTTGCTTGATCGATACACGCCTGCGAATCCTCCGTGCTGTGTGCAAACATCAACGAATGGAGGATGCTCGTCAAATCCGGGCTTCGAGAGTCGCGCGATTAATCGACGTCTATCTTGTGGCGGGGAGATTCCTGTCAGTTCAGTTAATGAATAATTAGGAGCAATCATGATGATAATTGCGACAGTGGGATAATTGCGGCTTTCCGTGTATGTCCCGTATAATTCAATTGATAATCGTTGTGAACTTACTAAGAATAATTCATTACAATCACAATACATAAACTGTTATTAAAATAATAATGTTAATTATTGTGATGTTATTATAATATTATGCACCAACGTTTCTTTGCTCTTTAGCTTCCTTTAGCTTGTCGATTTCTTTTATTATTTTAATAAGAATTTAATTTATTCAGTTTTTTACAAGATATTTTATAGAATATATTGTCTAGTTTAGAACTGAAAGCTTTTCCATATTTCTGTCTGTCTCTCTCTCTCTCTCTCTCTCTCTACTTTTTTTTTATTTTTATTTTATTGAGTTAATTCGTCTTCTATGATATAGTGCCGTCACGAGCAGAGAAAAATTGACACGACATAAATAATGTCTAGGATTCAAAGACAGATTTGTTTCCTATAAAGGGAGAAATCTTTCCCTCGAAAGACGTGCACGTCATATGGACATATCGAAACGTGTATCCTCCATCGTGGATGCCCCATCGATCGTTCAATCGTGGTGTTATATGTTCACGCAAACGAACCCAATCCAGATTCCGCATACGCAAGCAAGTCCGTATCCTCGGTCAACGTCACGATATCAAGCGTATCCCGCGAGCGGTATCGACCAATCGACCGACAGGATTCGACATGCGAGCGCGGGGAGAGACGCTTGAATATCGATCTCCCTCATCCAGAGAGATCCGGTGTGTGTATGCATGACTGCGTGTGCGTGTGCGTGTGCGTGTGCGTGTGCGCGCGCGCGCGCGCGCGCGCGCGTGTGTGTGTGTGTGTGTGTGTGTGTGTTTTGCGCGTATATGGCAAATCATGTATATCCGTGCGATCGCATCCGCAGTGGTTTCGCGGCCGGCATTCCCCCGCGATGCAATTAACACCTGATAATGACCTGCAACTCTGCATTAGTACTTATGTAATCGCAGCACGCATACGTACGTGCATAGACGACGCATGTAATCACGGCGAAATAAATATTTTGAAACCTAAAGGAGGAGAGGCCCTTGCCATCTCTCCGGCTCTGCATCGTTGAATTGGTTCATCATCGCCGCACGATATCCCGATATTCCCTTGATTCCTCCATCGAAAGAATAATCCTCGCGAACGATCCTCCCGGTGTCGGTGTACCGATTTGTTTTACAGCATCGCGATAAGAGCGGGATCAAGTGTCTCTTCTTCGCGTGATCCCGTCTGATGATTATTTTTTTTCCTATTACCTCAGAAGATTTAGGGAGTAGATTTTATTACACCAGTAAGGATCTGTACCCCTCGCGAGTCCAATATATTTGTCCGCTCCGGAGGGTGTCCCAGACGCTTTCTTGCTTTTCTTTATATATTTTTCCGCAGCGCACTGAATCTTCCGGCGACGAGAATACATGGAGACCGGGAAGATGGGAAAAAATATTGAGATAACGCTGCGCGATATATAATGCACGGTGTAGGAGGATTAATGCTTACACTCGGGCATTTTATCCGCGCTATCGATTTTCCGGAATACGTAGAATATGGTACGTACTCGTTTAGTGCCTTTCGAGCGAGCGGAAGAGAGAGGCTCGTCCGTGTCATTTCCCTCCCCATTCTCCTCCCCAGACCTGACATTTAATTATCGGGAATGATCGGCCGACGGTCCGCGACGCGACCAAGTGCATTCGTTTTCAACCCGCCCTTTGGCCGCGATGCACGCGCGACAAGTAGCAGTTTTTCAAACGCGTTTTATTCTGTAAAAAATATGTTTCATCGGCAATAGATATCTTTTTCCTTTATGTCTTTCGACAAACAAATTTATATTCGAAATAATTTTTATTATATTACTATCGACATTATTTTATTACATCGTAATATTTGGAGGAGGTAGGATATTGTGGGAAGTAAAATAATACAAATATTTCGTATTCGAGAAGATCATACTGAAAAATTTTGGAAATAAATTTAGTCAATCTTTAGATTTTTGTTAGACAAAGACAACGACGTGATTGTATTAACGTGAGATTATTATGAAGATGAAATAATGGAAAACGTACGCTTCTTTTTATAATACAGATACGCGCCCCATTCTCGATATTAATTTTCTCAAAAAAGGAAAAAAGCTTGATGACGCCGAGCGATTCACCAGCTTCCGCACTCTCTTCTACAATATATTATTACCCGTGTTAATTTTACTTTAATTAACTTCGCGTAATTACGCGCAGACTCTATCTCGCGAATTCGTAATTTCACGCGAGGAGACGTCCTCGAGGGGAGTTAATTAGAGAATTTTGAGCCTGTGTCCCTTCTTGCGGAGGCTAGTGGAGAAGATGTTCCGGACCAGGTCGCCTGTTGTTGCTCCAAGGATGTTTGGACCGACAGTAGGATTCGTTAACGGACTCTCAAGACTTAATGCAGGGTCGTTAAACAAAATGCGTCGCTCTAGTACTATCTTTTATGACATCGTATATATAAGTAACTCCGACCTACAATGGTCGACACCCCCCGCGTGTTCCCCGTACGCTATTCAAGCGAGTAGAACTCAATTGAAACGAACCTGTATAGTCACTCGCAAGATTTCCTCTAGCAAATGAACATTGACGTTTTGAAAATTTTTTTCAAAGATTTATTGGAAAATCTTTCGATTTACCGTGAGTTATAAATGATGCTCAAGGAACATTAGACATACTTTCAATCCGGACAAAGAAAGATAAATGAGAACGTGTGTTTCTATGAATTATTGAACGAAGCTTTGAAAAATAAAAAAAAATTAAATGACTACAGAATATATTCAACATTGAAAATTAGATACTTTTTGTAAATTGTAGTAAACATCGAAAGTGAAGATGGAAAATTTTTAAATTAGTTTTGTTGACAGAAGAAATTCTTACATGTTCACAAGATTCAGCATTATGAATATTTTAAATTCTATTAAAAATATAATTGCTAAATGGAATTATCTTCACAACTGGA